CCTGAGCTTGGCCTTCATAATTCCATTCCATCACATGGACTTGTCTTAAGATGAACGTTTGAGGAGGCTAAACCCGTTTTAGCCTTGAACTCCAGGATGTGCAGAAGGGGAGGGTTGTGGGAGAAATGAATGTGGCACTCTTCCATTCCAACCTGCTCTTCCATCTCTCCCCACCCCCCACTTTCTTTAAGGGAGTTGTTGGTGGAGTAACTGGGATAGTCACAAAACCCGTAGACGGTAAGTTAACAGGATTCTGTTGGTGAGTAACAATAGAAGCGTTAAGAGTTTCTGAATAAACATGTAAACCTGTAAATTATTTTATTGAAAAGTTAAATTAATTCTCACAGAATTCAGTGAAGAAGCATATTAATGATAGCAACTTTAGTACTTGCTTTGCTTCACATTCCATTGAAATGTTCCGGATTTGAATTATCTGAAATATTAAGTCGTTACGTGAAGTGAAACACGACTGTGCTGTATCATGTTAGAACCAAGAGACAACAATACTAACTTTGATATTCTCAAGTATACTGAAATTTTAAATAGAAAACCAATGCTTCTTGCAGACGGCCTGAAATTAAAATCCTTTGAATTTCGTGGCACTGTCTGCAGCCAGAAAATGCAATCCTGTTTTTCTTACTCTTGATATTGAAAGGTGCCAGAAAGGAAGGTGCAGCTGGCTTCTTCAAAGGGATCGGGAAAGGACTTGTCGGAGTGGTGGCCCGTCCCACCGGGGGCATCATTGACATGGCAAGCAGTACATTCCAAGGGATCCAGAGGTAAGCGCGGTGGGTTCCTTCCCTGGGCCTCATTTTTCAGAAGGAGACAGAGGCTCTTTCCTGCCTGAGAACCAGACTTGTGTGGGAGGGAGAACACGGACATGCACGCCCAACGTCTGCTTCTCTGTTGGTATGGATTGGGCCTTTCTGTGCAGAGCAGCATGCCGCCTTCCGCTAGCTGCTGTTTAACGAAACAGATTCCAGGATGAAACGCCCAGGGCTGTGGAATAACTCAGAGGCAGCAGGCCTTTCAGGCTGCCCTGCTTTCAGAACGCCCCGCACTAGAAAGGCCCTTCCTTCCATCTCTGCTCGTAGGGTGGCCGAATCTACTGAAGAAGTATCCAGCCTGCGCCCCCCTCGCCTCATTCGTGAAGATGGGATCATTCGGCCCTACGACAGAGGCGAGGCAGAAGGTTTTGACTTGTTTGAGGTACGGCTTTCAAATGTAGATATCTGTATGTGCCTGTGTGTATGCGCATGGATTACTGTGTGCAAGTGGTTGTTATTGCTTTTGTGGATGTTGTCTGTGGGGAGTCCTTGCTGAGGAAGGCGGTCGATGAAACAAACAAAATAATAGGCTCATCTGTACATATTGTAAGAGGTGTGAATTGGATCCTTTGTGGCCCAGACAGAAGTTTAGTGGTGGACATTTTGTTCTCAAATTGTTGAGAGGTGTTCGTTGAAGGTTGTCATCTGTGGATTTTTAATGAGGTATCATAAACAAGCCTCAGCCCTGACCCATTCTTGTGCTTTCTGCTTCTGACCTCTGGAATATTCTCTTGAGCATGGAACAAATCCTCCAGTCCCCTTGCAGGGTTCAGTCTGTAGGTTAGTCTGCCAAGTAAAAATAGCTGAGACGCACTGCTTCATTCCAGAAGAACAAGCTCTGTGCAAACCATTTCATTCTCCAACCTGAAATTGTCTCTCGGTTCAAATGGGGGGGGGGTCCCTGAGCAACATGAAAATCCATGTGTGATGGCAGTGGGAATGAGCCAGTGTGCACTTCCCTTCAAGGATGGCTTGGATGTACTCATTTCTCGTTCACCTTAACTGTCGCTTTCTCACAACAAGGGAACTCCAGAGTATGATACTATTTCGTTTTAATAAATCATTGTTAGGGAGGGCCACCCTTTAGAACCTAAATCTGAAAGGCAAAGGGAAACTTTTCTCCACAGCTGAAGAAGGAAAGCAGGAGAAAGTGCAAGGCTGAAAGGGGAGGCTGGCTGAGGTGGGATGCAATGCCAGCCATGGTTAGCTTTGAGAAATAAGTATCTTTTATAAGAAGGGGTTGAGGTTCTCTTTTGTGATTCAATCACCAGTGTGGTAGAGGAGTTTGGAGTTCCAAATTCATGCCCGGCCATGAAGTTGCCTGGCCTTGGGCCATGTTCCCCTTTCTGGCCCACCCTCATATGGTCCTTTTGTGAAATTCATAAGATGTGTGCCACAATGGGGTTGGAGGAAGAAGGCAAGGCCTCGGCGGTGACTCAGAGGTGTTCGAATTGTAAACATGCGCTTTTCATTTTTGCTGGGCTCTTCAATGACATTATGCATTCATCAATACATTTAATTGTTAAAAAACTATCTTGATTTCCACAGTAGCAAGAAGCTTGTACTATAATAATATTAAGATTCCAAACAAATGCCCTAAACTCAGACTGTTTTTTTTCTCTTGTTGTATTATCTTCTAAATGCAGCACGCAAACCCTTTCTAATGTTTCTTCTTTCTTCCTTTCTCCTTCCATGCATGCGCAACCCCGGCTGGAATGATGGAATCTTCTCTTTTCCTGATTAATTTAACCGTCTTTATCTGCCTTGGTTTCATTTAAATTTAAAGGCATAATTCCAGAGACATCCACTTGGTTTGGTGCTGTTTCACCGAGCCTTTGCGTATCGCTAATACTAATTTTTGATATTCTTCGTTTCCAATTGCAGGGCAAATGTTTCTTAATGCTAAGAGTAGCAGTCTGCTAGGAAAGTTAGCTGTGGACAGGAAGGGGTTGCACAGATAGCCATGAAAGAAGGCAAATGGGGAAAGAGCTCACATTTTTGGACGGGCCAGTTCTTCCTAAATTATTGTAATTGAGACCAAAGACACTGTTGTGAGAGGTATTGTGGAACATCATTTTATGATATGCAAAAAGGAGGTGGGTCGCTGGCTGAGGGGCTTATAAAACTGCTGGCACGTTTTGGGCATCTTGCTACGCATAGGTCTCCCAGGGGCAGTTGACAAAATGTGCATTGCAACATCGTGATGCAAATTCTGCTTCTGGGATACTTGTATGCAATGTCACAATGCAAGTGCAAAAAGGAAGCGCGTGCATTGTGATGTCCTGGTGCATGTTTTGTCATTTCCTCATCATCATGGATAGAAGCAGACAGCTATTTTACTGTGGGTGGATATTTGGGGGTCTCCCGGGCACCCCAGACCAGAAATCTGGGTGGCTTTCAGTTTCAGCATCAAACTTCCTTCAAAACCTGGCTGGAACACGCGATAGGTTTTTCGGTAGGGAATCTGACTATGTTTCAAACTATATTAACACCTAGAACTCACTCTGTAGATAGGTGGTGTCTTAATCATTCTGTCCAGGTCAGTAAATTTATTCTTTTCAAACAGTAACACCTGTGCCTTGATGCTCAAAGGAAATGATGTATTCAGAAATATGTATTTATTTTTACTTTTTACAAATGTATATATTTCCCTTCAATGTACGGTCATACTATATTGATTAAAAGGTGACAAATTATGTTGAGAGGCAACGTATCCTTATTGCATTGTAAAATGTTGCAGGCACTTGGGGGGTAATGAAAAATGGACATGTGGCTTTCCCCCGAATATGTGCTAAATTCAGTTGATATTGAGAGCTAGCGTTACTGTTATTATGAACAGTAAGAGCTGCCCCGTGCAGAGCAGCAGGGAGAGAGAAATGGCCCTCCTGCCCTTCTCTTGCATGTAGCTGCTTTCACTTGCAACGGATGGGAACGCTCACGTTTCTCAATAACGTCCCCCCCCCCATAAAGCTAGTTCTTGGTAATATTTTCAACTTAATATTGGTGTTCGGATGCATTGAGCAATTTGTAATGTTACAGGAATGTATATATAATGTTATGAACCAGTGAATTAAAAAATGGTTTTTCATGCCTAAACTTGTGAGAACCTTTTTTGAAAGTGGATGATGATTTTATCCTCTGCCTCTTTCCCTGAGAAAGGCTGCTGCTTAGAGCAGGGGTAGATCGTGTGACATCTTTCAGATAAATAGAGCTTCGACACCCATTGTCCCCAGCCAAGATGACTAGTGGGGAAGGGGTTGAGGTCTTCAACATCTGGAGGGCACCGCATTGCTGATCCTGGCTACAGAGGGAGGAGCCCCCAACCGGGCTTCATCTCCCGTTTCCTTTTCATCCCATCTGTCTTTGAACTTCATGGGAGTAGTTTGTCTTTCTCTCATTGTCACCACTGTTGGTGCTCCCTTCGCCCTCAGATCCCCTACTCTCAGCTGGGTCAGAATTGAAGGCCTCCAGTTTGGCAGAAGGGTGGGGGGGTGGAGGCCTCCTAATGGCTTCATTTGGGGCTTCAGTGTGCTCTGCCTTCAGCTGCATCCCAAATGGGGCTCTTGGACCATTAGCAGTGTGTCTGGGGAGGGAGGTCAGTCCAAGACAAGCTGGTAGTGCCTCATGGAAGAGTTTAAATATTGCAGCTCTAATCTGAAGCATTTTTTCCCCCACCCCTGGCTCCAGAACTCCCACATCAAGAAGCTGGAAGCAGAGAGTTTCCAGGACCATTGCCCAGTTTCAGGGAGCAGAAAGACCCACATCGTCGTGACCAGCAGGTACGGCCACACTGGCCAAACTGAAGGAGGAGTCTCCTCCACTGACCCTGGAATTTAATAATCTAGGGAGTCTAATCCTGAAGGATGCTGTTCTTTGTTCATTCTCTTATGGAATGAGGTGGCAGACGCTTTGGCTCTGCAAAGAGTTGAGTTTCTGTATAGACCTTGGCAGAAGCTTACATTAAAAGTAGTGGAAGGCACATCTCGGAGACCGGATGCCTGAAAGTTATTTTAAAGGGGGATTTGCCTCCTCCGTTGCTAGCACTCACTTGGGTGTGGGTTGGCATCTGGATAGGCCTTCAGTTGCTGATTTATATGTGGGAGACAGCAAAGAGGCTTGGTTTAGCTTTTCTTCTGGCCTGTGTTATTTGTTCCAGCTGAAGAGCCTGTCCCACCTTCTCTCACGTGGTCCTCTTAACTCAGCATGCTGACATGGCACCTCGAAGGTGCTCTGTAATTAAGCTGAGCCACCCCATAAGTAGAGTTGGGGTTTTCTGGGTGTGTGTGCGTGCGCACGCGTGCACGCTTTCTACATTCTTTAGTGGAGGACGGATTGTTTCACTCAAGTTAAAATGCCTTTGATCTCAGACACCCTGGACATTTTATCAGCAGATTGTTTCTTCTGAAACGGAAGTCCTAAGATACCTTTCTGTCAATCTAGGAGAGTCGTGTTAATGAAAGAAGTGGAGATCCTAGGGCACATGACAACAGATTGGGATTACTTATATGAAGATTTTACACGACCTCCCACTACAGATGAAAATGTACTGCAAATCTTCGTTAAGGTAAGAAAGTCTGATCTCTGCGTAGTAAGTTTAATCAATGCATAATAGCAGTTAACAGCCCGAAACTGTTATTAATCAGCAAAACAAGCTGCTACAGCAATAGAGACCGAGAACCAAAGCCTGTAGCGTGTTTCAAGAATATAGATATATTTTAAATCATCCTTGTAGCATTTATTTTGATAGTTGAGTGGTAGTTAGCACTCAGCATGGACTAACGCTGCACCTCCTTTTGTGAGCTTAGAATAATAAGGTAAGGAGCGCAACTGGGGTTCCCGTTGTTCTCAGGGAGGGATCCTTGAACATTTCTGAAACGTTTATTCCAAGCTCTTTTCCTTGTCTTCTGCACATCCCCATCTCAGTTACTGGTCGATCTGATTTGTAGACTTGAAGAACTTGATCTGCCCAGGTGAGGACTGTATAACATAGACAAGTTGTTAAGGTTTCCAGGCATCTTTCTCCGAAGCAAAGTCCTTCCTGTTCTCTCGTCTATGTAAACATAATACATTGCTGGGAAAATGTGGTCCTTTATGCAGGGGGCTGTAGTTCATGAAAATGTATGCCTAATAAACGTGCTTGTCTTCAAAGTATTGCAAGAATCTCTCAGCAAAAATAACAGAGGGTTTAACTTTGGATATGAGGATATTCCAAGATAAAATTGGGTAAATGCAGAGATGTTTTCTGATTCATTTTCTGATACATAATTTAATACTTAAGTATTATGTGCAATATCTGACAGGACCGAGGGATGCTACCATTCCACAAAAAAGAGAGTTCGGGACACGAATTAATAAAGAAAATCCGGCTCCCAGATGCAGCTGCAGCAAAGGTAAGGGTCCCCTAAAGCATTCAACTTAACTGTAAGCTTGATATCTCAGGGTCGTGGCAGCGCTGGGTCTTGAGTGACATTTGTACTTCACAGTCTTGCCTCATGTCAGGACATTAACGTGTCACTTGGCATTTCCAGAGCAATTGTCAGGCGCCGTGGTTTTTCTACCCTCCACCCTGAAGATTAACTTTTGTTTAATTAGGAAAGGAGGACAAAAATGTTCCTTCCCTTTTGGGGCATGAGAGCTGACACTTGCCTCTCTTAGGATCATGGCAACCCCCGACAGTTCCTTAGCTGCAGTGGATTAAGTGGCAAGAGAAGTGCGCTGATGAGCATGGAGGCCCCGGGCCTCGCAGGTGGAAAGGCACTTGCTCAAGTGCTCCTAATAACGCTTCCTGCTCACCTGGGCCATTTCCATTACCACCCTGATTTAAGGTTGCGGTGGCTTTGCAGAGCTGAATTTTTCTGTCTTTCCAATAGAAGTTTGCTCGTTTTTTCAGGAAAGGATTTTTTTTCCCTGTAATGTTCAGGAGCGACTAATAAAATTCTGCCGCTTCACAGAGAATGTGTCAAGCCATTGATGCAGCTGAAGCCAGCAGCCACCAGCAGAAGTTGGTGAAGCAAGCATCTCTGAAAAGAAGTATATCCAAGACGTGACTGGGGAACAAACGCCTTCGCTTGGCCAGCCTTTCAGAAGATGTCTTTTTGGGGAGCGGTCGGTGCCTGGGTGATGATTCTTGGTTTGGGCTTGTGAGCTTGGGAACCGTTTAAGCCAGCCCTTGTCTCAACTTTACTAGATCTAGATTTTGATTGATTCCGTGTGTGCTTCTATAAAATCTTGACAGTCAAAACACCAAAGAAGAAATTCAGAGATTCCTTCTGTTTTAAATTTCCCTTACGATAAATTAATCAGAATTCATTTCTGCTTTTGCCTTTGGCAAAAAATAAGCTTTCATTTAGAGTAAATTAAATACATCAACCTCCTATCAGATCTATTCAGAGAGAGATTTTCTAATGCAGAAGACTCATTTTTCCTCACCGTCCAGGAACTAGTGAAGTGAGTCACTTGTGCTGTTGTAATCAGGGGCGCAAGTTCTTTATTCTTGTTGGTCAGTAAATAGTGCCTAATTATGTTAATTGCTCATACTTAGATTTATGTGACATGGAAATGAATGTTTGGCTTAGAATATAATTCTTTCTTTAGAAATGATCAGCACAAAATTTACACTAGAAAATCTGATGACAGTATATACAGAAAAATACATAGATTTAAAAGAATGAACTGACTCAGGGTCATAGCATATCTCATGCCACCAAATGCAGAGGTTTAAAGCACACTCTCGTCTACCCCAGCTGACTGTAACGGAATGCAGCTCGTGATTCTCTCTTCTCCTGATACCGGAAATTAGTGGGTTTCAGGTTGCAGTTCAAGAACACACGTGTACTTGCCAGGGATCGCACCCTGAGTGATTTAACTGCCCTGAGAGAGAACCCCTCTGCACTCCGGCAGCTGGAAGATTCCCGTTGAAGTCATCTTTTAAGTGGTAAATCAAGTACTGATGCTGCCAGATTTTTATATATGAAGGTATTTCTGCTTAACATTCAGTATTTCTTAAGCCTGATTATTTGTTTTTTGACGATGCTCTCTTTTTGCACACTTCTTTTAGATAGCACCTTTACTGTTACTCATAACGTGCTGGCATTAACATTAGCATGGCCAAAGCTGGTTAACAATATTAGCTGCATTTATAGTTTCAGCACATCCAGTTTACAGCCCAGAATAATCAGTCCATCAGAGTTTGAACCAAAGAAGATACGGATTTGTGTGCCAGCGGTTTCAGTCAGATTAGGGGGAAATAATTGCCTCAAGCAAAGAATCAGTAGCACAAACTGTTATTTATAAAATAACAGGATTAATTCCTAAATGATATTAGATTCTGATTTAGAATTGTAAATGAGGGAGAAACTATTATGGCTAGGTCAGAGTTAACAGGTAGGAGTCTTCAAACTTACCTAGTTCGCTCAGGGAGTTGGCTACTGGTCATATAAAATGTACTATTTTCTGTGTTTACTTTTGTTACATATATAATATATAATGCTGCCAAATAAAAGTATTTTATATGCAACTCTTTCTGTGATACAATCAAAGAATGTTAATTGTGCCGCAAAATTTGTGCCGCCTACAAAGTGATGCGTAGTTGAGTCATCGGTCATACTCTCTGAAATAGGGTTTGATTGCTTTCCACAAGATGGTAGCATTCACCTACTTTTACAACTGATACCTCAGTCTTTCTGTGGTTTGGTAAGAGCAAGTTGCATCAAGCCACGGGGCCCATGTGTAATAGTTACAAAACTTCACTTCTTGTGAGTGCATATGCACGTACCCACTTCGGTGCTTCCTCCAGAAGAGCACTGGCTGATTTTAAAAGTATGGCGCACTTAGGACTGATGTAGCAGAGTTGTCTAGTTTTGTTCCAGGGCTGCTGCTGTTTGACAAGGTTAAATGCTGCAAAATAACGTTATTGAACCAAACTTAGTAGTTGTACAAAAATGCAAGGTTTTAAGGAAGGAGGGGGAAAACAATTGATGTAAGTCGATGGAGACAGATTTTATTTTTATTAAACCGATCTTGGACTCACCTGATGAAACTGATTAGCAGTAAGATACAGAATTTGCAAAGCTGGTAAGCGCATTAAAAATAAACGAATCCTGGTAACTTGGATATCTATTTTTATTGGTAAATAGCTTTAAAAATAATTTAAGAGGGATAGGCACGTAATGACTATTAGTCCCGGTAGCCAACTAAGTTGTGCACTCTGAATGCCAGCTGCTCTGCGCAGTTAAAAGGAATGCCCATCTCCGTGAGTTCCCAGAGGCCATTGCTAAAAGCGGAAGACTGAGATGGATAAACTTCAGGGCATTTGGTGGTGTTCGAGGAATAGGGTTTTTGAAACAACGTGGCGGCAACTGTCCTTGCCAGCAAAGCTGCGTAACTGGATTGATGCCAGCGCAGCAACCAGGTGACCTCATTCAAGAGATCTGCACAGGAGCAATTGGCCATGGACGAGGAGGCCCACCATGGTTCGCAAAATGCATTTGGGTGCTTGGTATGACTGCTGATCTCTGAGCCAGCTATTCCTTCGTAGAAACTGTTCTTGAAGACCTCTTCACATCTAAAATGTTCATCAATATTCAGAGAAAGCGGCATGAGACTGTGGTGTCTCAAAAAATGAGCCTGAATTCTGGTGCAGCAGCCTGGAGACCTTCCGTGCATTTTCATCAGGCGCAGAAATCGCTTTTTACTTAATATGAAATGCAAAGTACCACAGAACCAAATGACGACACCATTATGCAGTGAGTGAGGTTTTTTTTTAAAGGATTTTGTATGTTTACGTTGACATGTAACCTGAGCACTCTATGAGGGAAAGGAGCAAAAGAAACTGTATTACTGTTAGCCATGCTGGTCTGTTAATACAACAAACCTAAATTATGGCATAACCTTTGATAGGGCAGAGCCCACACAAGCTTATTCAGTAATCAATGTATTAGTTTGTGAAATGCCACAAGATGCTTTAGCACCCTGTGTTTTACTAAACATGGGGACGTGGAAAACAGCTCAAGCAGCTGAATATTCATAATACCGGCTCTTCTTAAGAATGAGCGTATGCCTTTCTGAGGTGTACAGGTAGAGACTGGAGGATAATTAGTTGTGTAATTCATTATGCATGCTTTTTGTTATACAATAGGTGAGTTGGTTCCTCAAGATGTACTCTTCTAGGTCAGCACTGTTTTGACTGAGCAGAGAGGTGGTGGTACAGGCTGGGAGAGTGTTTCATTAACTTATACAAGTTTTTATAAGAGTTCTGGAACTGAAAATATATTTTCAAAAGTCTTCGGCCCTGTCATTGTTTAAAATCCAGGGATAGGAATGTTGGATTTGCTTCTGTCAAGACTTTCCATCTTTTCCTGAAGAAACTGATGAACAATAATTAATAATTTTATTATTTACATGTACCATGCCTACCATTAATCAACATCTGGTGTAATTTCTTTAAAGGTTCTGTATAAACCTCCCAGATAGGAATAATATTGGGAAACAGAGGCGGGGGGGGGAGATAGAGTTTGTGCATGTGTGTGTTGCAAAACTTATGTAATGCAAAAGGTGCGTTAAGTTAAAAACACATTTTTAAAACTTCCCTTTGGCATATAGTTGGCCATGATGGGAATGAAATGCTGGATTAAATAGGGTTTGGTCTGCTGCAACAAAGCTCCTGTGTTCTTAAATAACTTGGCCTGCAACGTCCGGTACAGAAATTTGGACAGGGATTGTAATCCAAGTTGTGATGTGTATGTTTTAGCATGTGCATAGCTAAATGCATTTTTGGTTTGGCACCAAAAATCCAGTTCCTTCAAGATTGTTGGGGCATGTGAAGTGGAAATCCTGTTTATATCCAATGGGTGATTCTATGGCCTGCTTCTGAAAATGGCATGCCACCCCTGGTTTCCATCCCCCAAGCTAACGCTTCCATCTCTCAGTGCTGTGATTTGACCTGCTGTTTGGCCATCATAGAATTTAAAAAAAGAAAATCAGGCTTCTCTTCAGTTTTGGACTCTGAGGAAAACAATATTCAACTGTCATTTGCTAAACTAGCCAAAAAAAGATTCATGTGAGGGAAGACTGGAGGAGTCTCTCTATAATTAAAAGCTGAAGGATGTACCTTACTTACATATCACATCTAACAAGGCAGCAAAGCCCAGACCTTCCTAATTGCAAGAAGAAAGAAAAGAACCTGGGTGCCTAGTCCTTGGTCTGCTGGAGCACCCAAGTTTTAATGATGGTTATAGTTGTCTCTCCACCTGTGACACCTTGGTATCCATCTTAATTTTTGGATCCTTCTCAACGAGACAATGATTAAAGATCTCTTCTCCAGCTCCAGCTAGTGATCAATGGCAGCTGGCGCTTGCCATTGTTTATCTCACCAACTGGAGGCTAGGGGCAGATCAGGGAGCATAATATCCTCCTTTGGGCCCCACTTTGCTTTGATCTTCTCCGCCTCAAAGGCAATACATTTTTATTAGTCCCTCTTGGTGACCCCGGGAGGATCAATCATGTTCCCAGACTGCAGATGGCATCTGCTTGTTCCTGCAGTTCAAGAAGATTGGACCGTAGCACTTGTGATGGGAGAGGAAGAGTTTGACTCCTAATAAGATATTTATTATCGGTTGTTGTTATTCTTCATATTTTGGCCCAACCTCTCATGTGCAGATGCAATTAAGTTCTTTTTTCTCACAGATCCCATTCCATGACCATTGAGGCAGATGGTGCTTTTCTTGGGCCAGTTTAAGAGTAGAAAGGCTGGGGTTCAGACTTCCTATCTCTCTCTTGTCCCTAGGCCAACAATGTTTGCTGCTTTTTAAAGTTTCCCGCTCTGAGGTTTTGTAAGAGTCTGTGCAAAAGTAAATCCTTGCAAGCTATAATTTTTCAAATGTGTCAAACAAAATTCAGAGTAAACCTCTTTCTTTTGCTAAAAAGCCAAGAAGTGTACTATTTGCTAAAACTCAAAAGGCCCTGCTCTCTCTCTCTCGTTGAAAAGGGCTGCTTTAACTTCCCCAAACTTGCTAAGGGTATGTTGCATCTGCCACAATGTTTTGCGTGCCAGCCTTTTTCTTAACTTTGCAATGTTGGAAATGACTTCTGAGCCATGTTGTATCATTGCCTGCTGGCACTGTAAGTAAATCTCTCTAGTTTGGGACTTTGTGCAGCTGTCAGGGGAGAGAGGAATGCCCAGTGTAAGCTTTCTGAGCTGAAGAACACAGTTAAGCTTCTTATGTGAATTTCCCTCATAGAGGAAAGACTGCTTTCTGTGTACTTATTTTTAAATTTCTCCTTCATATAGTGAATTGCCTGGGAAATGTGATGGGTTGGCAGTTTCAGGGCTGCGAGCTGTCCATTAATCCAGAGAAGAGAGTTTAATAAGCTGCAGATCCTCTTTGAAGTGTGTTGTCCCCTCCAGACCTGAGGGTTCAAGTCAGAAGAGGGCCATCTCTGCATCCGTCCTCCCATCCGTGGTGAGCAAATTAAGTTCTCTGACCTTTGCTTGTGGAGAGTAGAGTATTAAGCGATCGGTGCTTGCTTTTAGCTGAAGTTGAGAGTTGGAGTGATCTGTGGGACAGTGCAGGAAGCTAGAGCCTCCCAGAGTGACGTTTGCAAAGCTGGGTGAGAGGGAACTTCCTTAAAGGCAGCAAACAGCTATATGGAGTGGCACAAGTTATTCTGCTGTTGGGGTTAAACAGTGGTTTAACCACCGTTAGTTGACGAAACAACATGCTAGACCAGTGTTTCTCAACCTTGGCAACTTTAAGATGTGTGGACTCCCACTCCCAGAACTCCCCAGCCAGCCATGGCTGGCTGGGGAATTCTGGGAGTGGCTGGGGA